ATATATATATATATATATATATATATGCTTTTTCGTGAAGATGGAGGCGATAGGGTCTTAATGGACTCAGAATTAGGTATATGATATATCGTTGGAAAGGTCTGTGAGTCTAATTTAATTCGCCGCTAGTTTCAGCTTAAGCAGACATGCAATGTATTATGATTTTTCATTATTGTTGTCAAACAAAAGTGTTAAGCGCAAAATGTGTCAATCTGGAAGGAACTGGTCTCTAGATTGAAATCCGTTTGAAAAAGATCAAGATGAATTATATCTCGTTCCTATTTATAGTTGTTTTGAATGTTTCATTTGCTTTTTTCTTTAAATGAATTATATCTCCGTATCTTGTGTTTTATTAAATTAATGAATTGCTACCTTAGTGTTCAAATAGTGACAAATGATTATATGTGTAAATTTGAACCGCCCGGTCCGGCCCTAAAAAAGAGAAAATTGGCCCAGCCCAACCCTATGCTCAAAAAATTTAGGACTAGTCTAGAATTATATAAGGTATTTTTATAAAAAAAAAAATCTTTAAATTTTTTAAGTTTGAAAAAAAAAATCTTCTAAGTAAGTGCCTTGGTTGTTTTTTAGGATGAGAAATGTTTCATTTGCCAAGGCATAAAGGTCCTCGTTTTGTTTCTTGATTTTTAAAATTTTATATATAAAGAAATTAATTTGGAGTATTTATTTGAAGGAGTATAAATGAAAATTTTTTTGAAAAAATAGAGAATTTACCTTTAAGAGTGCATGAGTCTGGACTTTTATCTCTTACTCTTGATAAAATATTATTTTTTCAGTGTAATTATTTGACGAAAAAAGTTATGAATCAAAAATAAAAAATAAAAATCCTGACACATGCATTTATAAGAAGTATTTATCAAGATTACCCATCAAATTTTAAGTAAAAAAAAAAAAGGCCTAGAGTACTCAGAGGACACTTTGTTTAAAGTACGAGATATTCAATATTAGATGGATAACAATTTGATATCATTTACATTGAGATGTGGATCCACTAATTCAATAAAACACAGGATACTAAAAATGTAATATTTTCTTCTTTAAATTAGCAGTTTGATTTAAATACTTGAGATAAGGCACAAGAGTTAAGAATTTGGGCAGAGTCCAGAACTCCACCATACCCGTGGCTGCTTGACGGCAACACGTTAGGCTATCTAACTCATTTTGTCTTTTGGTAGTTGGCCAAAAAACCCATTCTACACGCTTCAAAGTTCAAACTAGTTATGTGGTTAAACCTACTAATAAAGAAATTGGTCACCTATGGACCTAATGTTAAGTTCCCATGCTTGGAAATAAAAATCCTTCTTTCACGTATCTACCAAAAAATTAGTTCAAGAAAGAAATATGGGGACTTATCCAGTGAGACATATCCTTTTTAATTGTTGGTAATTACCACAATTTTAACCGATAAATTATATTTTAACGGTTGGATTTGTGAACGTCCACTTTAAAAATATATAATGTGCAACACAAAACCTCTATAATCACAAATCAGACCGTTAAAATCATAATCCAACAGTTAAAATAACATTAACTACCGGTAGTTAAAAATAACAAGTTTTATCAAAAGAATTCCCAATAAATAAACAGAATTGGAATTCTTATTGAAAGATAAATTTAATTGCCACAACCATAAAACAATAAGAAGTTTCTATGGTAGGGACATAAAATATAAGTACCGGTAGTTTTCTAATCTCTACTTTTTAATTGTTAGATTTGTATCAGAAACTGTCCATTCTGCATACTTTTTTTTAATCTGATGTGATTTTAACCATATTCAACGGTAAGAAACTAACATTACTAATAAAGACCTACTAGAGAAAGTCCCAAAATAATAATGACAATGGCATATGAGTAGAACACAAGAACTTAAGGGCTTGTTTGTTTCATATAATACTCCTTCAAGAGAAAATTGAAGAATTTACTCTTAAGAGTGCATGAGTCTAGATTTTTACCCCTCATTCTTGACTAATAACCTTTTACTAGTATATTTATTTGACTAAAAAGATTATTAATCAATCGTAAATGAGAAAAATTCTGACTCGTGTACTTTTAAGGGGTATTTGTCTCCTTTACTCTATATTCAAACTCAAATCATTGACTTTGCTACAATATTTTTTTCTTATAAAAAATTTAAATTTTAAATATTAGAATCAAGAATTATAATTTGAGTATACCTTATAAAAGAGCCCCAAGATTAGAGAGAAAAACTTGAAAGCGACTGTCCTTTTGACTGGCATTTTTTTCTTCAATGGTTGGGACACGGCTTGCTTAAAAAGTCATCTTTTGCAATTTAATTGCAAAAACAACTTCACCAATGGGCGCTTTACAATCCATGGGTGTCTTTTTCTTTTGCTTTAAGAGCTTTTAATAATGAAGCTTACCAGAAATAAGCAAAACTAGGAGTCAAGAATAATTTTCCACCCTTACAAAGCACAATATATTGTGGGTCCCTCTACCCTAACTTTTGATCTCTATAATCATGGCTAGAAATCACTTCTCACACAAATACCAAGCAAAGCTGCCCAATTAAGCACACAAATTCTCACTGAAAACAAAAATGTTTTGTAGTAACCTTTATCATGTACTCTCTAGTATAATCTCAAATAATATGAGTGCGTTAAATACTATTTCTACTTTCATATTGCAACGGCAGTAAAAGAAGACCCCAGTTTCTGTGGTCATTCTTTAAAGTATTGAAAATAGAAAGATGGATATTTAAACATATTGGTCCCAACATTAGTTCAAAAATTCAGAAAAGAAATTGGTACAAATAAGCTTCTTTGACAACTAGGCAAATAAAGAAAAAGTAACTTTTTGTATACACAGAACATATAAATAACAGGAAATTTACACTCATAAATTACACACAACACTGCAACCAGTAGTAGCAGCTACAAGGACGAAGTGCATAACTTTAAAAGACGGTGACAAGTCTATGAGAGAAATGAAGACTTTTCTCCTCTTATAAATTAAGAAAACTCACCAGGAAACTTAAGAATGGACAGTGATATCCACATTCCCCTGTCCGTTTATGTTGGCTGGAATGCCATTGTTTGTGTCAGCCTTGTCATTGGAATTGCACACATTTCCATCACCACTATGGAGGTTGGTCTTATCCTTTGTGTTGATGGGACCGGAATTAGTAGCTTCTTCGTTGTAACTACCCGTACTATGACGATTACCCCGCTCAGATTTTCCTTTCACTTTGTCCACTGTATCACTGCAGCTCTTCCTTCGCCCAAGCTTTGGCGATTTTGCACGGGTTGGGGGAAGCTGGCATTGAGAAAAGACAAGATGTTTAAATGGCCGTTTACCAATTTAATCATTAAAAATCTCTTCCTAATTCTGTTTACCATTCTGCTAAGCTTTGAGAATTCATAGTTCACAATGTATGCAATCTTAAAGTGCTATATGACAATGTAAGAACATGGAAAAAAAATAATAATAAAAGATCTTTGTAAGACCTTTTTAAGTTCAATCTTTGGTGGAGGACCCTCATGGTAGAAGCTAGGCATTGGGTTTGCCTTGAACATTAAGCTCTTCCTCAACTGTTTTATAGCTGCCTAACTTTCTTCCTAAAATTTCAAGGTTAATGAAAAGGCACAAAGAAAAGAAATATGTAAGAGTAAATACTTCAACCAGATAGATATAAAAAGACCATAAGATGTGTGAGAAACTGTAAGAATGCCAAACAATATCCATTCACAATAATTTATGAAAGCCAGAAGATAGAGAGAAATAAAGCTACTTTTACTCAGAAGAAACTACAGAAAGTAGAAAACCTTGGTCCTTGCTTCACTTTGAGTTTTCTCAGCCTCTAGTGCTTGGTGTTTCTCCTCCAATTTAGAATAAAACTAAAGTAGGGCCGCATCAAAGGGACGTCAATACTAGACAATAATACTAATGGAACAGATTCATGAAAACAGTTCCACCTGATAAATTTACCTCCTTTCTTTTCTCTGCTCGTTCAGTACTTTTAAATAATGGAGCTGATGCAACAGTCGTCCTGGACTTCCGTGTAGAGACTGTTGCTCTATGCATTGTCAAGAAATAAAATTTCTTCTGACGAAAAAAGAGAAAATGAACGCAATATAGGAATGAGAAAAGTAGACAGAAATTATCAATGCTAGACCAAAAGACATTTGAGGATACGAGGAAACAACAGAACAAGAATCTTCCTCATCAGGATGCTTCTTGTTATCAGGTTGCAGTGGCTTTCTTGGTACTGAAGGTGATGTTGGCTGCATATGTGATTAAAAACAAACACAGGATTCTTGTCAAGCACTTCTAAAAGTTTAACATGGATAATCCAAGCAATCAACATACAAATTCATTTAAAGAAACTAAACAGAAATGTAAAGAGGACTGATAATACCAAATGAGAGAAATGTAGGCGCGCAATGATAGATTTTTACCTGATTCTTCTTTCCAGTATTAAGATTTTGTAGATTACTTGTGTTTAAAGATTTCTTAGCACCATTACCAGCGCATACAGCACCACCAGGACGAGGTCCTGATGAAGCGCGTTTTTCAGTTGCCAGCGCAAATGGCTGTGGAACAGTGGGCTTTATTCTAACATTGCCAGCACCATGTTTTGATACATGAGATAATGTTGCCTTATTTTGATCTTTTGTTTTCTCACAGTCTAGATGGACTTTATCAGCAGGGTGGCCATCTCCTAAATCAGAGCTCACTACATTCGGTTCCTCATTTGATTTTTCACCGTGACACGGTTTAGAATGGTTCTCGTTAGTGCACTCCTTCACCTCATATTCCTTTACCTCAGTACTGTCTTCCAAATCCTTGAGCTCATGATCGCCATTGACATGCACATGTGACTCTAAAGTAACATTATGGTTGGGAATTGATTCAGGATCTGAATCCTGAGAAACATGTTTGGGATACTTTGCGACACTAGCAGACTCCACGTCCATGCAAATATCAGTAACTTCCATCCCCATAACACTGCAATACAGAAACCTTAGTATCACCGCCATTTACTATTTGCTATACATATGTGGCACCAGAAAAACTGAATAGCAACTAACACTGACCACGATTTTTCATTTAATTTTTGTCAGAAATTGAGAGTACTAACTCAATAACCATACCAACATAAGTCGTCATTCGTGCAAATGCCAGAAAATTCAAACCAAAAAAAGGAATTCCAACACTTGTAAGAATCCATGTGCAATATAACTGTAATTTCTATAAAGTCTATGTTAATAAGATATGAAATTTCGCTTGAAGAAGATACAGTGTGCATAAGAAAATAGCTTTACACAAATAAAAAAGTGAAGAAGGAACCTAGCATTATAAGATCACGATGGGCAGGTGGCTATGTGATTGATTCTAGTATTCATTAGATGTGTAATAATAAAAAAAGCAGAGTAAACAGGTAGAATTGCAATTTGACAATTTTTAGTAATGTTGCACCTATTCCCTACATTTACAAATCATATTCAAAAACCACATTTAAAGTCTTTCCCCAGAAAAAGTGTTAAAACACAAATGAACACAAGGATTAGGCGCAGCATTATGGAAAACATATTGGTAAAGTCACTGGGGAGGTTTTTGTTATATCCCAAAAGTAAAGGATGATTACACACAAATTTAAGTTCCAAATTGTTCAGAGACTGTACAAGTAATTCATAACAGAAGATTAAGAATAAACACTGAGTACCAAAAAGGACTTTATTTTCCTAGTAGTTGCAAAACTCCTGATTTTGATGTCACAATGGAAAATTATGGCGCAGAGAATAAGAGGACAGTTTTAAAACTTTAAGGAATGCTATAATTATGATTGAACTGGCCAAGACCGATGAAAAATCTCTAGTTTCTATAACAAGGGTAACCAGTAACCTCTATCCCCAATCCCCTTATTTTCTACAAAAAGAAAAACAAAACACCAGGAAAAAAAAAAAAAAAAAAGCTTGTCTTTAGACCTTATTTCTCATGTGTATTTTTTAGCTGGCTGTTATTCAGAGAAACAAGACTAGTTATAGTGATATGAAATCAGTCTATAACCTAATGAATTGTCAGAACATCACCACAGGCACAGCTGGAAAGCCGTTAAAATATGAGCCAAATATATTTCATACCCTGCAGATATAAGCTTATAATTTAAACGCAAAAACACGCTTCCATCTACTGAAATGGAATATTTATTTCACACGTACATGAATCAAGAGAACATAATTTAAAGTTACTCTAATACCATACTTAAAAAAGACCAATGTTCACCAAACAAAATAACTGAAGGTGGAAATAGACAGAAAAGAACAACATTTAAAACAATAGCAACACCTTGTAAACTTGTTAAAAGTACTATTATTGGCCCACCTCCTAATAGCTTAAGCTTTTTAGATAGATTGGTAAACTAACATGGTTCAGAAGGTTCTGAGTTCAAACCCCTGCAATTGCACTCTTTATCCCCTTTAATGTCATCACGTGTTGGGTCTTTAATATATTTCGGACTTATTATCAAATATTCACGTGTTGGGCTTTTCAATTAATTTAACCACATGGTTGTCCATTGTCCAGCATACGTGAGGGAGAATGTTAAAAGTATAAAACTATTGTTGACCCACCTCTTAATAACTTAAGCTTTTGGGATGTATTGGTAAATTAACAAAACTAAAAACAGAAAAGTAAGAAACAGAACATTGGCCTTCCCAACAACCATGAACGCCAAGGAATACAAAAGGGAAAACACTAAGATCTCTTTCATTTCACTAATTCGAGTTTTCAATTCTAGTTTTGCTACAGTTAAAAGCTCTCACAAAAAGTCACATTTAAGTTTTTTGCTACAGTAAAAAGCTCTTACATAAAATTACATCTCAGCTCGAATTGAAAACTTGAATCTGTAAACTGAACGAGGTCTATATACACAGGAATTACAGGTAAAGGGTACTAGACGTGGTGATAATAAGCTCAATCCATAATTTTGATTCTAAGTCCAAATTAACAATAGGGGCCTCTATTAAAAGAATAGCCCACATTAATAATAATAATAATAATAATAATAAATAACAAAAATTTAAAGGGATGTCAACAAACATAATTAAAGCAAGAAACTAAGATCAAATAAAACAGGAAGCAATCTAGGGGGGAAAAAATCTTATATGATGCCAAAACCATAAATGACCTTCTGCTCAAATAACATAGAAATGTCTCCATATTACAAGATGATATCTCAAGTTCTCACTTCCAGCCCAAGTAGAATTTGGTCAGCACCTTTCCAAACAGACGAATTTCTTGGTTAAATAAGAAACCTCCGGGAGCAAACACTGCAAGCAATGCTTTTTTAAGGAAATTGAAATCACAAACACATTCACTAATACAGGCCAATCAGTTCGCCTAGGCTACATTATACGTTAAATAAACAAATAACTTTTTCATTTCATTTTCTACCTACACTTTCTCGGCAGCCAAACGACTATTTTCCACGGAAAAAAAATGGAAAAATCGAACCGCATTGAAATGAGAGCAAATTGAAAGACAGATCAAAAATCGCAAAACGAGATATCTGAGAAATCGAAGATTTCATGCATGCACAGAGATGAAAACTGAAGGAGAGAGAAAGAGGAGAGAGAAATGTGGCAAATGTGGTAAATAACTCACATTTTCGGTCCGATCTGTGAAAGATTTGAAGGCTTTTCTCGGCGAGAGAGAGAGAGAATTTGGGGGGTCTCTGCAAATGGTTTGAGTTATAATGGAGGTGTTTTTATTATTGTTTTTTTGTGCGTTTCTGTTGCTCGTTTTTATACCATGCTCTCTGCCTCGTCGGCAATAACGCCGTTTCTTAACGGCTTAATCAATTATGTCTTACATTATTTCTTCTTCTTTTTTTTTTTTTTTTCCTTTTTTCGATAAAGGAAGATTTTCTATTACGTCCGCGGTCTGCGATATCGGTAAGTTAAATTTTTTAATCGTTGAATTTTTTTTTTTTTATGTGATTTTATATAAATTTAACATATATAAAATTTAACCTTTCAGTATGTTAATGAACCGAAAAAGATTCATTTAATAAATCAACTTATTTTCTTCTTTTTGCTGAATTTTTTATTGTTGAAGAAATCCAATAAGTTAATTTTAAGATTATTTTCGAGTGATTTTAATAAATCAGAAGTTTTAATTCGAGTCTTGTGGTAAAAGTGTTTGAGATTATTTTCAGAATACTTGTGTAATTTTAAATAATCTTTGATAAAACTAAAAGTTCTTCCATCAAGTAATTATAGATCAATGCGGAAAAGGGTAGTTACATTTTTAACTTGATAAATTCTTCGATTCTCATAATATGTTGGAGGTCTTTCAATATTTCAATTAAGGCTTTAGTCCCCTTGCCCTTGTGTGACCAAGTGACCTTGCGTGATATGTTGTTTTAGTCATTTAATTATGTTATATATGCCAATGACTTTATTTACTATGAGCATAAATATTGTGTTCCTTGAGTTGAGGTAATTATTTATTGATCTCGAAATAAATAATTACCTCAAAAATAGGGTAATAAATATGTTATATATTATTTCTCACCTTGCTTGCCCACAAAAATAGGGTCCCAATATTTATTGATCTCAAAATTCTAATCGATGGATAACCTATAATTTCGGGGTCCCAAGAATTTCTTAAGACATTGTAAAAAATATTATTTTTAAATGGTTCGAAATAACTTAAACACGACTTATTTATTATTTTAATGGGTTAAACCAACTGAATCTAAAGTTACAACTAGTTCGATACGTTTTAATTATTTCAATAAGATTTTATTTCCTCTCAATTTCACTTGTTTTTCGAACAAAGTTAATTAATATTTAGTTCTTTGTATTCTTATGATTTTCAATAAGGGTAATAGGGTAGCTTCTCTGAAATTCTCACAATTAATGTAAAATTTAGGAAATTTTGTAAGACATTTTTCAACAAGTATTTCTTTTTTGAAATAAATATATAATAATTAAATTTATTCAAGCAAGACACATATTACAACTGCAAATTTATGATAACCAAAACAGTCAAACTGTTACTTCGTCTATGGAACTAGGAAGAATTCATCATGCTTTTATCTTTCAATTGGTGTGTGTACATAAGTAATAAGTTCAGAAAGGAGTCAAAATCGAACTCCATTAAAAAAAAAAAATAGACCTTTGACCTTTCGCCTCAGGTATAGTTTCTACTGCATGGTACAATAACAAATCTATAGTTATCGTTAATAAGTATTTCATTTAAGTATAAAAAGAAGTAATTATCTGATTTTAATTAAAAGCTGAGAAAGGTATACAAATTAATATGTCAAACTCATATTAAAGTGGCTATGTCAAATCATCATCCAACCTCGCTGAAGTTATTCACTTTCCTAACCTTTTTTTTTTTCACTTTAAGCATATGAATAGATTTGATATTTCATTTTTATAGTTGGTGCAAACAATTTCCAATAATTTCAAGCAAAAGAAAAAGGAAAACAGTTTCCAATAAAAAGAAAGAAAAAACAATAAGATAACTACAATGACATTCTTTGTATTTTTTTCTAAACTACCTCCTTTGATCAAAATTTTTTTACATCAATACTCCTTGAAGAATTGAAAAATTTATGTAGACACCCTCTAAATTCGTCAATTAACAAAATCAACACCTTTAATGGAAGTACGGAGTGGAGAGGCTCTGCTATGGATGCATGGGGGAGGCGAGGGCCGACAATGATGTGGAATACGAGGGGTGAGGAGCTATGGCTGTTTGTGAGTGTGATGGGATGGGCAATGCTGATGGGGAAGAAGTTTTGGCAGTTGTTAGGGTTGGCACCGTTAATTTTACCGATTTAAGTTTAGAATTCGAGTTTTACTATAATAACAAGCTCTCAAAAATAGTCACATATAACTTTTTTACTATAGTAAAAAACTTTCACATAAAATTACGTCTCAACTCGAATCAGCAAACTAAATGGGCCCAAAATATTTTGATCAAAGAAATTTTTTTTTCTCTGTTTTTAAATTTAAGCAAGACAAGAATTGTTAGAACAACTCCAACCATGCTAACCATTTCATGTTTTTAGTTAAATTTTGTTTTTTTGTTTTTTTTTAACTTTTCTCCGCTCCAACTATTAGCTAAATGGTTAACTATTTTGGCTCAAGCATTTTTCACTAGCTGAATGTAGCTAGTAAGAAATGACTAGCTAAATATTCTTTTTATTATTTTATTCTTTATTTTGACATAAAGTAAATGTTAAAAAAAATTATTTTATACTTTAAACTTAAAAAAATATTAAAAAAATTTATGTTTAACTAAAATAAAAAGTATAATTAGAGTGACTCAATAAAAAGTTACTAACTAAAATAACTTTCTAGTCATTTTAGTTAAAATTTAGTTAAAATTTATAGAGCTTCCTTAGAGATGCTCTTGACGTAGACTCAAACAAATAAAAAAAAAATGTACTAGACTCTTGTTAGGATGAGTTCTTTATCCCATAAAAACGATAAAAAGAACCTTTTCGTTGTTCATTTCACCTTCGTTCAAGTTAAAGGAACATGTGCAAAACGAAACCTATTCAATCTCTCAGAGTTAATATTTGTCTCTCAATCTCAGATTGTCAAGTAACATAAGCAAGCAAGAAGTTCTTTCATGCAAAGGATCGTTGTCCGCTAAAAATCTCAACTACCAAAAATGCTCTTTCCTACTTTTTTTGTTTTTTTTTTGAAAAAATATTTTCCTAATATTAGTCATGTTCATAGGTTTTTTTTTTTTTTTTTTTTTTCTCTTGGATTTCATATTCACATTCCATTGAAAAATGTTCAACAAAAAGCCTAAGCTTGTAAAAGAATATACATTAAGGAAACGTGCATTTGATTATCTTTAATCCCACCTTTTTTTTTAATTTATATTTGTACAATAATTAGGCAACCTTACCTTCTTCTACGGGGGATTTAACATGACGTTTTGACGCCAATACCAAATGGGGTTTTGTCATATGGTCAAGACTCAAGAGGATGTTCATATCTTAACCAAAAAGCAATAAGAGAGAAGACGTTCCATCCAAATTATTGCTTGGGCCCCATCTTTGATTTCTCCCGCTTAACCCTTTTGATAAAGCCTTAACACCCTCTAAATTAATTTCACAACTCCCTTCCTTTTCATTAAATTCCCATTCTACCCATCACTCCTTATCCTCAATTACAACCAAACATAACACACTAAGACCTCGTTAACTTTTCGGATTCGATTTTTCAATTCGAACTGAGATGTGACATTTTTTGAGAGTTTTTTACTGTAGTAGAAAAAATTAAATGTGACATTTTCTGAGAGTTTTTTACTGTAAAAACTTAAAACTCAAAACGGTGAAATGAACGAGACCTAAACTTGTATCTTGAGCCTTTCAGTATCAAGATTACCAAATATGTGAACTAAGCCGAAACCTTAATAATAAAGTGGTTTACTAGTTAAGTATAGGTAAAATATCTTAATATTGAATTCAGTATTATAGGATCAAATCTCTTACATACCAAGGTTTGAAAGAAACAAAAATCTACATCTATTAGTATATACTAATATGTGTTTTCGAACGTCAAATCATATTAAAAATAAACAAATATAAAACACTGAGAATAATCTAATAATAATCATGGTTGTATATAAATTTGACAGTAAATTCACATTTGACTCTGAGATCAAATGTAGAGTTCAAATTCACCTATCCAAAATTCAAAAATAATATAATGATAAAAGGGTTAGGAAAAAAAAGGAAAGCTTAATAGTAGGGGTATAGTTGATATTTAGAAGATAATTGAAGGGCAATTAGGGATAATGAAGATTATGGGAAAGATGATGGAGGACACGGTTTGGCTTGTGGGTTATATATATGAGCTGTGTGGCAATGACTTTGTTTGGAGAACTTCTGCCGAGTGGAGTAGGAGAAAGGGTAGCACTTGTGGGGTCCAAATTTTGGGAGGAATGTGGGACCCCCTTCTCCCACACGGCCCCACAGGACCTTTGAAAATGAATATGATTATTCAAACCCAAGTGAATGGTCGATCTATATATGAGGTCCCACATTAGGAGATTAATGTACGTGCCAACTGACATGATTGGTCTACTTACAATCACATCATATCCATATCCCTATTGTTTAAGGTCCTTGTGCTTGTCCCATGAAAACTGGTGGCCAAATGGAAAAGGGCTACCTTAGAATTGTGATTTGGTTACATGACACCTTCATTTTTAAGGACACTATTTTATTAGCGCTGCTATTAATAAAAAAATGAGTTCCACCTATAAATAATATATTGCCCGACTTATTTTACATTAATGAGTAGTTATGAACACCGCTATGTTTTATATCATTGTTTAATATTTTTTTATAAGTTTTCCCTTATTCTTATTTATTATAAAAAATAATTAAAAAAAGCTCTCTCTTCTTGTCATTTGGTGGAAAATAAAGCTCCCAAATTGATTTGACTACTGAAAATTTCATTGAGAATTTATAAAACAGTACCTATTAAATATTGTGTATTCATCAGGTTCAATTTATTTTTCATATTTCTTGTTATAATAAGATTTTAATTTGATTTGACATGTAAAAAATAACCCAATATTATTAGCATTTTTTTACACCCTATTAAAACTGAGTTGGTTTTATTTCAAAAGAAAAAAGGAGAAAAAACTGCGTTGGTTTATTTAACTATATTGACCTTTTCATTGATAAGTTATAAGTGTTTGACATGATATTTTAATTGATG